CCACTGATTCCCGGATTGTGCTTGCCACTACACTAGTGTTCTGGTCCACTGAACAGCTCTTTTATTTATTTATTTATTTATGGCTGTGTTGGGGCTTCCTTGCTGCGTGTGGGCTTTTCTCTAGTTGTGGCAAGCCGGGGCTACTCCACATTGTGGTGCGCAGGCTTCTCATTTCGGTGGCTTTCTCATTGCGGAGCATGGGCTCCAGGTGCGCAGGCTTCAGTAGTTGTGGCATGCGGGCTCAGTAGTTGTGGCTCATGGGCTCTAGAGCACAGGCTCAGTAGTTGTGGCGCATGGGCTTAGTTGCTCCACCGCATGTGGGATCTTCCTGGACCAGGGCTCAGACCCATGTCTCCTGCGTTGGCAGGCAGATTCTTAACCACTGAGCCACCAGGGAAGTCCCTGAACAGCTCTATTAAGTAACATTCATTGAGTGTTTACTCATGGCAGGCACTCATATAGGCGCTGGGAATAAAGCCATGCTGAAAACAGACAGCAAACTCTGCCATCATAAAACTTACATTTTAGTGTAAAAAATGTAACAAGACAGACTGTAGAAGACAGACAACAAATAAGTCAAGTAAAATATATAGTGGTAACTGCTAAGGAGAAAAATTAAAAAGCAAGGATAGGAAAAAATTAAGCAACCACAGGAGATGGGAGGAGTTGAACTTGTAGACAAGGTAGCCAGGGAAGGAGTCCTGGGAAGGGGCTGTGTGAGTAATGACCTGAAAATGTGAGGGGAACTCGGCCATGTATTAGCTCTTGAGCAAAAGTTACTTAACTTTTCTGTGCCTCAGTGTCCTCATCTCTAAAATGAAAATAGTGATGGTAATAATAAAAACAATAATAGTGGTTTGGGCATTACATTAGTTATTATGTATGAAGCCTTTGGAAAAGTAACTGGCATATGAGAAGCACTATATAAGTATCTGTTAAATAAAACGGACAAAGAAACCTGCTAGAGGAGTGAGTTGGGGTCAGAGGAGCTGAAAAAACAGGAGCTTAGTTTTGGACATGTAAGAATTGAGAATTTGTTAGGGTTACGTGGAGATGCCAGATAGGCAGCCTGCAATTCAGGGAAGGGGCCTGGGTTGGAGATCACTTGAATCCTAAGCCTATACCTGGTATTTAAAACCGAAATAAATTAGTGTAATTGTAAAAAGAATTTGTTGAGTTAATTTTTTTCCTTCAAACATATTTGCAAAACACTGAGTTAAAGAAAGAGACTCAAGTTGTCTTTGTTACTAGACAGATATCTCAGAACTGTTTTACTTGCTAACGTGAACCACGGGTCTCCAAGATGGAAACAACAGACTTCTGAGATATCTTAGACTAGCAGCATTTCGAGAGTACTGTTCCATAGAACACAGTTACTGCCTGAAAAAGTAAATTACTTCTTGCCTAACATCAAAACATAAAAAACTCCCCAAACTTTCAAAATGCTGCAAAATGGATTGGCTAGTTGTTTCATTTTCATAAATAGTTTTGTATCCATAGAAAATAGCTAAGCAAGTTGATGCGAAAACATTGTCTCATGGGCAATGTAATAGTTTACTTAAAAAAAAATTCCCCCCAAATTATTTGTACATTGGAATCATCTGTGGAGCTTCAAAAGCTACTAGAAATTGTGATTTGATTTGTTGGGGCTATGGTCAGGGCACTGGAAATTTTAAAAGATCCCCAAGTGATTCTAATACGTAGATGCTTTGGGGAGCTAGTTTCACTAACAGGAATCTCTTTTTGACGTTATTTATTCTCTGTCCCTTATTTAAAATAGTTAAAATTAAATATTTAAAATATATAAATATTTAATATTTTTAAAATATTCTTTTAATTAAGGATCGTTATTTGGATGGTGAGCAGGTTATATTTATCAAATGTTTATGTACCTACTGTTTGTCACCCTATCTTTGTGATATCATGGTGATACCACTAATTTTCAAGGCAAATGAATAGTATAATGGATTTCTACTTTTAGAAGGGAAGTGGATACTTAGGTTAACTAAATTATTAATAAAATCCAAAAACTAAATTATTAGTAACATCTTTAACTGATATAGTTTCAAAAAACGTCTAAGAGTCTTTAGCCAAAATATAAAATGTTATTAGCCACTCAGCCTGTTAGAATCAACTAGTACCATTTATAATTCTTTAGACATTGGCCTTATAGGAGAGCAATGGTTATAAATAGTGTGACCTTTAAGAGTCACAGAACTTCCGTGTGCAAACCAATATGTCTTCGAGAACTGTATGAACCCGTTTTAATCAATTAAATCAACAACTGTTTCTTGAGCACATACCAGGCACTGTTCTAGGCACTGGGGGGTCTATAAAATAAGTAAAATAAGAAATCCCTGCCTTAGAAAATGGTGGAGGGAGACTGTAAAGCAAATAAATAATATAGTTTAGGGGCCGATAAATGCCCTAAAGAAAAATAAAGTAGGGTGAGGGGGAAGGACACGATAAAAGGCAGGTGGGGAGGGGCAATGGTTGATAAGTGTGGACAGAGACCTCTCACAGGAGGTGACCCTTGAACCACCTGAGAGAAGGGAGGGAAGAACTCGTGAGAAGATTTGCAACCAGAGGGGCCTAGGCTGTGAGGGCCGCCAGAGGAAAGCTCGAAAGGGAGCAAATGTTTGATGCATTCGAGAAAGAGCAGAAGGCTAGTATAACAGAATGAAACGGAGAGAGACAGCGATGGATGAGGTCAGAGAGACAGGCCGGAACCAAATGATAACTGCCAGCACCTCATGGGCCATGGTAAGTTTTGTTGTTTTTTTTGGTCTCTAAGTTCAAAGCCATTGGAGGCTGAAAAGCCATTGGAGGCTGAAAAGCCATTGGAGGGTTTGTTGGGGAAGTGCCGTGGCCTCATTTACCTTTAGAGAGATAACTTTGGGCTGATAGATGAAAAGTAAATTAGCCAAAGCCAAGGTGAAAACAGGAAGACAGTCAGGAAGCTATAGCAGTGGTCCAGGCAAGAGCTGACGGTGGAGCGGAGAGGCAGCAGAGAGTTCTGATGCAGAGGATGTGTTGATGCTCTCACAGAAAAGGATTTACTCGTGGAGTTTTGTTGTTAGGACACATAATACATGCAGCCAGGTAACAAAAAGTCATGGTCAGAAAAGTTTCAGTATCCCAGGTTAAAGCTAGAATTAAAGCAATCTTTATATAGAAATTATTTCCTATGTAACAGAAATACCTTTTTTTATTAACCCGTCCTCTTCTTTTTAGAAAAAACAGCTTTTAATAACTTTGGGAATCTGAGTTACCCTGTCTTGTCTTTAGTCTCAGGCCATGTCTTAAAATCGTGAGGAGCCAGAATGACCAGAATGGTAGTAACACTGTCTGTTTGAAATTGTGATAGGCATAGCGGTTTAAGGTTTCCACTGTGACGAATAATTTGACCAGAAGTTATGTTTGGAACAGTGAGAATTCTTCTGTTGCTCTGGGCTACTTACCACTATGTCTAGATCAATGATTTTTTCCACTTGCAGGGGTAGGGATGAGAGAGCTCTCCTCACCATCGTACTCTGTTATCTTTCCCAAGTCTCCCCTGCCTATTCCAAGCCACTTCACTCTCATGCAGCTCTCAACTGATCAGCATCACTAGAGCATCTGATGTGGGGGGGAGGGGCAGGGGAAGTTTGATTAGCATTTCCATCCTTATATCAGATATTGTAGATGAACACAGTAATAAAAAACATAGATTTTGGACCCACAGGGCATCATGTTTGAATTCTGTCCACTGGTTATGAGCTTAGTGACTGGGGAAACACATTTAATCTTTCTGAGCCTCCATGCCCTCATCAATAAAATGTAATGATTCCTAATGTCAGGTGAGGTTAATTTAGATTATGAATGTAAAGCGCCAGAATATAGTAGATGCTCAATAAATGATAGCAATTATAATTACAAGTACATTTCCTCCTGTATATCTTTATTCAGCAGTTTTCATATTTTTAATAAAATATTTTAGGAGCAAAGGCATTCAAGTCAGACTGCCTGGATTGAAATCCCAGCTTTATCACACATAAGCTTTGTGACCTTAGATATATTTTTGAACCTCTCTCCCTCTTTGCTTCCTTATCTGTAAATAAATTGGTTACAATAAAAGTGTCAGCTCCATTGGACTGTAGTAAGGATTAAGGAGCATAAGGTATATAAAGAATATATGAAGGCACAGAAATTGGCATATATAAGTAATGTTTTGTAAGTCAAATACTGTAAATAACAGTCTCTCAATTCCTTATTTCAAAATTACAGTGAAAAGCTAAAGTATTGTACCTAGCTTTTCTATTTTCATTTATCATAAGTCAGGTAAATTTGCATAATCTGAGCCAGGAATTTGTTTAAAATGAGTAGTTGATTTATTCTATCAGTCATAAAATGAAGGAGAAATTTAGATATTATCTGATTAATTGATCCATGTAAGTTAGAATATTGGCTTATTCAGGACCTCAAAATGAAATTCAGTTATTTCCTTGGCCATTCTGAGAAAGATCAAAATAACTAGATAATTGTCAAATCTATTTTTCTTTTGACTTGAATGTTTGCTGTTTTCCCCTGACATTTGTGTTTCCCACCTTACTTCTTTTTTCATTTCTTTTGATATGTGTTATTTCCAAATGTTCTTTCAGTTCCTCACTGATAAAAACTTCATACTAGCAATAAGTAAAAGCTTGAATAAAGTTAGTTAAAAAGTTAAAAGTTGAATAGTTTAATTTTCAAATGGAACTTGCTGTGTTTTTTTTCTACTGATCCTTGATATTATTCCCAATACTATTATTTCTAGTACTGTTCTTGAATTGGTAGTCTTTAACAAATAACTGATTATTGAAGAGGAAACGATAGTGCTGATGGTATAAAGTGGTTTATTATCATATATTAATAATTCTGGTAACATCACTTTTGTGGTTGGCCTTAATCCAGTGATAATACTAAGCTCATTATATGAAATTTACTTTGTTATATTAGTGGGGCTTTCTTTCACTTTATAGCTGGCTTAAGTCCTGCTGAGATTCAGCAGTTATGGAAAGAAGTGACTGGAGTTCACAGTATGGAAGACAACGGCATTAAGCATGGAGGGCTAGACCTCACTACTAACAATTCCTCCTCGACTACCTCCCCCACCGCTTCCAAAGCGTCACCACCAATAACCCATCACTCCATGGTGAATGGACAGTCTTCAGTTCTAAATGCAAGGCGAGACAGGTAAATCTCAGGAGATACATTCTGTTACATATCACCAAACTTTACTTTCACCATTTGTGAAACTAAAAATAATGATTTGTACTTAATAGGGGCAGAATGTGTAGAACAACTAATTAAATAGATAGAAACCTTTAGATTATTTGTATTTATATCATTTTCATTAGAAAAAAAGCAGTTCATATACCAGCAGTTTAATGGATAGAGTGGGGAATTTACTGAAGAAAGTTATTTGTTAATAAGTGCATGCAGAATTATTGTGTCAATATATTTTTATGGCTAAAATGTTGTGATTAACCTGATTGCTGAAATGAGAACATTTTTACCATTTTAAAACTTAACCAGTTTCAAATAATTAAAGATGCATATATATCCCCCTTATATATGTTACAAACATGTGCTTACAAATCAGAGAATAGATATACATAAACATATAAACACAGGTATAATAAACCAGAAGATAGAAGATCTGGTTTTCCTTTTTTATTGTTGTGGCATGATGGAATTATAAATATATAATAAAAATGAAATTACGGTGGTAACTTTCTGAATAAATTTGCCTCAATACTCATAAAGAAAAATTATTTGATTTCAGTTACCAACACTGAGTACATTATATTAGGTAATTTTTCAACTTACTGTTTTATTTTAGTTGTGTAAAAACTGCCTTTGTAAAAGGATCACCCATGTACTTTTTTTTGTCCATTTAGTTCTATTTATGCAGGCATATCGTTATCTAATCAGGTCCTTTAATGTAATTTACATAAACTATAGAAGCTAAAATATTGCTCAATATGAAAACTATCTTTTTAAAAGATGAAGCATAAGTGTAGGACTTCTTAACAGAATGGCTTAGTCTCATATGATATATAGCTTTAAAATTCATATTTAAGTGGAGTGGATTAATAGTGTTCTGTTATGTATGTGAATACCTGCCTAGTGCCACAAACCCTTTCCCCTAAGCAAATATTTTTTCAAAGAAACGTGCATATAATTACAGTACAGTTTAAGATATAATGCTATAGTTTGGTGATGTTTTTTGTCTTCCTAGAAGTATCATAAAATTTTTTTCTTGTTAGCTTTCATTATTATAAAATGGTATGCCTTTGAATGCTTTCACGCTGTTGTATTAATTGAGAGTAATTTGATGATTATATAGTTCAGAAGTTGGTTGATGTCTCTAGGATCTATCCGATATAATACTCACTTATCAAAAGTCTTGGATAATTACAGAAAGAGATAGCTAATGAATACCGTTCCAAAGTAGAATTTTTAAATCAGCTGTAACTAGCAGAAACATATATGGTTCGCACATAAATATTAAACAATGTAAATGATTCTAAAGGTCCATATCTTCCCTAAAAAGAACATTTCGAAAATCTTATGGTGATTTTCCTATTACTTTCTTAAAAACACGGGTTTTTTTCACTTGACCACATATGAATATATATATTTTTATTTAGAGGTAAATGTTACGTTAAGGTCATATGGCAGGATTAGCATATGATATTATACAGTCCTCTTAGTTTTTCATCGTTTATTAACAGTCATCTTTGGCTCTATTTCTCCTCTAATTGGAACATCATCTAGCCTTGGCAGTTGAACTATTCAATAGAACGATTAAATTTTTCTGACTGCTCTGAGCTGAATTGACCTGTTTTGACCTGTTTGTCACTGATCGTAACCTGACAGGCGCTAGCAGCCTGCAACGATTATGGCTTTTTGAGATCAATCTGATGCCATGTTCTTTTGCTGCAGCTCATCACATGAGGAGACTGGGGCCTCTCACACTCTCTACGGCCATGGAGTTTGCAAATGGCCAGGCTGTGAAAGCATTTGTGAAGACTTTGGACAGTTTTTAAAGTAGGTTTTTTACTTTTTTTAGGGGAGGGAGTGGATTGTATGGGAGTTTTAAGCAGATAGTTGTAAATGAACAAAAGAAAGCTGAAGGAAGAAAGTGAAGGTCCATCATAAGGCACACTAAGTTTGCTGTGTGTTCCAACAAGTAGATTAGCAAAGTCAGGCTAAGACGGTTAACTCTTCCTCTTTACCTTTTCGTGAGAACATTTTACAAATCATCCAATAAAAGTTTTTGAATGAATGAAAAAAGAAGTAGCCTTACTACAGCAGTGTCATTAATAACTGGAAGACGTGTTTGTTGGATTCACTTAAATTTCAAGGTTTCAAGAAAAATTTCCAGTAACATTATGTGAGAAGTCATATTATATATATATATATATATAAAATATATATTATATATATACACATACATATATTTAAACAAAAGACAGATTTTAAAGGTGTATTTTTTATTGCAGACTTTATATTTCTTACTTTAAATAATATTTAATGTATTTATTTAACAGCAAGAATAAAAAACTGAAAGTTAATAGTAACTAAAATTTTAAGATAGTTGTTATTTTCTCCATGTTGTTACTTGTTGCCCTGAGAATCATAAAGAAACTTACATGGCCCTATGTTTGTATGATAGATTATATGGCTTCTCTAGCTTAAAATCAACTTTGTGTATCCTTAATTTCTGCATACAGTGATAATTTATTTTTTTTAATTCATAAGAGGTTCTTTTTCAAATGAGAATATGCATCTTTCATGAAACATTTTCCACGCACAATTTCAGTATACAAGAGATCTAAACAGAGAGCTACAGATAGGTTTATGGAGATGAGTAACTTCACAGGCTGAGACTCTTATGTTGTCATGGAGCAGCTAACAGGGTGAATGAACTGTTTCATGCTTCATCAACAATTAAGTTAATTAGCTCATTTGAAATTGCACTGCTTTGTTGACAGGATGTTGGCAGAAACATCAAAAAGATGTGTTTACAAATGGTAGACTACAGAGTACAGAGCAAAAGCACCTTAACAACAAGGCACAAGTACTTGGCATCATAATAACTGTATAACTGAGTTACAGTAAGACTTCCACAAGGATTTTTTTAAACTATTTTTATTTCTGACCAATTAAAAGGAAAAAATACTTCCTGTATTATTATGGATTTTCTACATGGCCTTGAATGAAAATTTGCACACCTATTATCCTGAACAGTTGTGAGCTACCATTTTGTTGGATAGGAAACTGATTTGACCATTCTAAGCAAAGAGAGCTCTTAAAATGTTAAGTAACTTTGCTAAAGTTTTCCTGTCTAAGAAAAATAACATTTGCTAAAATAAAGACAGGATATAAGAATATAATTCTTTAAAGAACTAATTTCATATTTCTTCATTTGAATATATTAGTCCTTATTAATATGTTATATTATTCCTTATCATTAAGGTTATTTAGAGGACTATTGCTGCTATTTCTTCAGTATATGGCAATTTAAGCCATAGAACTAGCTCAGTCACCAAATATTTTATTGCTCTAAGTTGTTGTTTTTGACAAAATTCAAAATAAAGCTTTAAGAAAAAAATACATGTCTTTGTTTCGGTATGATTTCCTTTATGGCCCATGGAAAGGAGCATTTTTATTCATCTCAAATTTGTATACATATTTTTATTACTAACAAGCTTATAAATATGAACTCTCATTTTACCCTCCATGGGTCTTTTTCATATTCAAGTTAGTATTTTTGAAAAACTGAAGAAGTTACAATTAAAAAAGCATTTCCTTTCAATTAAATATCAACTTTGTTTCCAAAGACTGACCATTTTTCCAACCCATTAACTTCATAGGGATGACAGAACAAATGACAGTAGATTTTAAGGCCTTTTTTTGAGTCCATTTTTGTTATGATATGCTTAGATTCTGTAAGTCAAAGATCTGTGATAAATTCTGTTGATAGAACTAATGCCAGTGTACTGTACTGAAATGAAATATTAGACATATTTCCATACTAGTATTGTCTTTTTCTTAAAAAGGTGTGGGAAATTTGAAGAGAAATAAAATAATGTTTTATTAAATTAATTTCAGTTATTCAGAAAAAAATGTTGATTTAGTGTCTATGTGGAAAGTGAATCGAAGAAGGCATCACCACTAATACAGATTTTCTTGGAAAGAAGATTTTGCTTTTCTTTTGTAATAATGGAGAGGATTGAGAGTCTTGGGGGGAAAAATGTCAGGCAAGTCAAAAAGCTGTGAAAGGTTTTTAGCTCTCAGGTTTTTTGTTTATCCATGCTCCAGAAATTTTGTACCCAGTGTTTACTATAAAAGGTGTTTGAGAAAATATTATTGTGGCATTTTTATTTCTAAAATGCACTAGAAATACATTGTACAGCTTGAGCTGTACTTTGTATCAGTCAGCTTATCCATTGGTTTGAAATAAAAGAAAGCTATCCAATATTACTATTTACCCTACATATGTTTAATAGCAAAGGATAGTAGAAAATATGTTGAGTCCCAAATTCCATTTCTCACATTATATCCCCAAATAAACTGGCAGAATTCCTCTGTTTTTGCCCAGCACCAAATGAAAATCCACCAGAGGACAGTTGCTTATGAATAACATATATATTCTTAGCCATATATACATATATAAGAAGAAAGTCTAGACTAAAAGGTGTTTAGGAAAATTTTTGAATTACTATGAAGTGGGTGTTGACAGAAGCTAACCATTTTTCTGACCACTCATTGAAGATCTCACTAGATCACTAAAAGCATTTAATACTAGTTCTTCATTACTGTCTTATAAATGTCAAAGTGTAATAATATCCAACAAAATTTTAGTGTAGTTTGTCTGCAAAATTAATTATCATTCCATTGGCCCTAAGTCAGCATGAATGTAGATGGATTGACTTTTAGAGCTTAAACCAAAAGGTTTACAACATAACATTCAATTTGGCAGACAAGTGTTCTTGAACCTGCATGTGCCGATGCCAGCAAACAAAACATGGTCTGAGATACAAAGATAGAAATACTCTTTGAAGAATGGCAAAATGGTTAGTGTCGATAAAATGTCAGCCTATTAAGGAGTAATTAGTTGGCGAACATAAATGTATTAGGTTTATTACAAAGCCTAAAATTTTAAGGTTTGACACTGTATAAAGAGCAATAGAAAAGGTAGTAGAAACAATATTTAATGGAAATGTGTTATCTTTTTTCTTGCAGCTGACTACTCTAAAGATTATGCTCTTACTTAGTGTGTATTGTCTATTTCTTTGTCTTTGACTAGGCAGCATGGCTACAAAATTATGACCTCAAGAAGGCGTTCTTTGAACTTGTCAGAATGTTGTTTCTTTTGGTGACAGTGCCCCCATCTCTCAAAACTAAGGCATCTCACATAATCAGCTAAATGAATAGTGACAGCTAACATTTTGTATTTAAACTCCTGTCAGTGTTTAAACGTAAAAAGCTTGATGCAAAATAAATCAAACACCAGTGATATGCAAGGGAAACATTTGGTTAAAACAGTCTCTGACATACTTGGATTTAAATCTGATCCCTTTTTAGCTTATAAAATGCTGTAACTTTAAATGAATTTGAAAAAAAATCTAGAGGTTAAAATAGAATTGCTAATCTGGGGTGTATATAATTGAAGTTACCCCATGCATTCATAACCTTAAAAGCTTAATTAAAGAGAACTGTGCATTAAATAAATTGGAAAGATCCTTTCCTACATTTTGTCTTCCTGAAACACTTGCTTAATTGTTTTTAGAAAGAATTTGACTGCCTATTTACACTTTTTTTCCTAGTGGGCACTACCTTACCTAGCACGTAGATTCAATGCAGTTTTGAAAGAACGTCAGTTGACCACATCATTTATTCCATTTTGAAAACAAAAATCAATATACCTATAAAGTGACCCATAAATTAGAATTGGCTCACACAATGTTTGTTCAGTGCTGCCTTTCTGAAGGCACCCTTTGCATTTTTTTCTTCACCTCTCTGTTTGAACTGCAGTCTCGGTAAGAGGCTCATTAGGGGACATTAGGGACTGGAGCTAACCAGAATTCCAGAGCTTGCTTTGCTCTTATTAATGCATAGTAGAGTAGAATGCATTTAAATATTTCATAGGCATTCAGTAATTTGTGTGTAATCGCCTTGTTAGCAGACCAGTAGAAGTAGAACAGGCCTGTGAAATGGTGTTAGTGATTGCATGGGTAATTTACAGACCTTTGCCATCAGAAAGAGTATTATTGTTGGCTAGTACGAAGCTGTGAAATAGAACTAGCAATAAGTAAAAAAAGAAACTTAATAAAGGTTTTGTAACAAGCATCTTCAGGGATAACAACCCCACTTGGTCCTTTTGAAGCAGCTATAATTTATGACATAGGCAATATATCAAATGCATAAGATAGTATTATGGAGCATTCATATGAAAAGGGTATTTGCAACATTAGTTCCAACTTCCTGCAAGGGACATGATTAAATGATTAATGAAATGTCCCTTTGCATATGCATTTTGAAACAGCAATTAGGCACTGACTGAGAAAATCTACCAATCCTCTCATTTTTCAGTATTATCTCATTCTTGATTTATAAATCATAGAGAATTTTTGAACAGCAATATGTAGTACCTGAGATAGTTATAAAAACATAAAAGAGAATAATTTGGGCACAAAATAGTCATAAATACATAAATTCATAATTTACTGTTAATATGCAGCCTGTTTATTTAGTCTTATTGCATTGCATTTATATCCGGACACTATTTCTGTACTTTGATTGGCATAATTAAGTAGGGGGAATGAATAGGCACTATTATTTTACATATCACTGGTAAACAATAGCGAGGAAAGGAGAAGGGAGATGTGGCAGAGGTATGTATGTGTTTTTCAAGTTCTCAGTAATCCACTGGAGGCTGTTCTATAAATGATCATTGAAGGGCTGCAAGCTAGCCTATAATTACAGGAAAGAAAGTGGCAGCTCTGGCATTTCATAACTATGTGTCCTCGAAAAGTGCTTTGTGAGTTTGTCACCAATGATAATTTAGATAGAGGCTCATTACTGAACATCACAACACTTTAAAAACCTTTCCCCTTCATACAGGAGAATAAAGGACTATTTTAATGGCAAGGTTCTTTTGTGTTCCACTGAAAAATTCAATCAAGACAAAACCTCATTGGCTATTATTGTAGTCTACAGTCTCTATTCTAATAAAAGATGCAGAGATAAATTGAATAGGTCTCTAAGACCCAAGTATATAATGCAAACATTTTGTACTTTTTTTAGTTCTTTAAGTATAGGATAATTATTATCCCTAAGAAGTAAACAAGTGTGCAAAAAACCTTTTTAAAAAGTAATTTCATGCAAAAATAAACATGTTAAACTGAATATATCTTTTTCTAGCAGAGCTGTGTATTCTGCTTATCTTACTCCATTTACACCCTAATCTTTGTGTAGAGCTGAAGCATTTTTTAAAATATGCATTTAGACTGACCGTGGAACAAACATACGTGTGTTCCTCAAGAGATCAAGCCTTAGGAGTACAACTACTATTGCAGTACACTGATAGAAAATGGACTCGTTGTTCATTAAAATGGGGGGAGGACCTGAAAAACAATTTGTAACTGTCCTGTTAGGAATAAGTGACACTTAATGTCATAAGCTAACCTGTGGTTTACTCTGACATTCCGTGCCTCCTTTTCAGGAAGCATGAGTGAATTTTAGTTCTTGTTACAATTTATTTTATCTAATTTTTTATTATGAAAATCATTTTTTAAATTTTTATTTTATAGTGGAGTATAGGTGATTTACAATGTCGTGTTAGTTTCAGGTGTACAGCAAAGTGATTCAGTTATACCTATATCCATTCTTTTTCAGGTTCTCTTCCCATATAGGTTATTACAGAGTATTGAGTAGAGTTCCCTGTGCTATACAGTAGGTCCTTGTTGATTACCTATTTTATATATAGTAGTGTGTATCGTTCCAGTTAGTTTCTTAACCAAACCAACAGAGGCAGTCTAAGAGCAGGCAGGTGGAGTACAAGTGCCTTTCCTGCGCTATAACCACACACCTTAAACTTGACCTGATACACCCTGCTATTTTAGTCCACAGTCTCTCTTCAACCAAGAATGACAGTTGTGCTAAGATACATGGAGGTTTTGTTGTCATGATCAGTGAGGAGGTACTGAAACAAACTGATTTAATTTATCAAAGGATGAGGCAGAGTCGCACAAATTCTACCTGCTGAACCTAGATCTACTAACAAATAAACCTACATGTTTGTAAATTACTTCTTTATATGTGTTACCTATCTGTCTGTCTATATATTTGTTCTGTTTCATTATCGATTTCAAGAAACGTAAGTAAATCATTTGAATGGGCACAAAAGTATTTCTGATGAATTTTAGTAAAATTAGGGCTGCACTAAACTTTTTAGACTATTATACTGTTCTAAATGGTACTTGAGCCCAGATGGAGAAATATATAAATTCTTATTTAATTTTGTAAATATTTGGTTTAATATTTCTCTTAGATACATTGATGAGAACATCTCTTAAATTGCTGCCTTAGTTTGCCCATTGGTGAAATAGACACACCAAAGGATATTAAATTAATTGAAGATGACTTTTTTAATTTTAGGAGGCAGCAAATAAATGATATATTACAAAGTACATATTATTGAATATGTTCATGTTCATTGGAGATGCTGCTCTACTAAATTACTTTTGATGTATCAACATACCACTCATTAAAGAGATCTTTTTAAACATTATGAAATAATAATAGACTAATACATAATAAAGATTAGAGTAAGATAATGAGAATGTCTTATCTTTCCCTACTTTTTTGAAGGATTAGAATAGATGTCTCCCAAATAGGACACTAGACATGAAATGTCAATCTTACACTTCTGATTGTCAGAATCTTCTATGCACTTTAATTATTAGTAATAACAAGTGATCATTCTTCATAAGTATTTGATGTTTCCATGGGACGATAATTTGCCATCTTTACATAATTCATACCACATCCTGGTGAAATAAGACATGGCTCACTAAATAACATCATAGGGACCACAAACTGTTTTAACAAAAATGGAATAGAGAATTGTCTTTGTTCTCTTCAGAGTTACTTTTGGTTCATGTATTTATAAAGTGTCCTTTTTAAAAATAAATGGCACGAGTATATGAAATTCATCTAGTGATTTCTACTATTATTCTGCAAATGGTTTGGGGAAAATATTTTTTGTAATAACTGATAAGCTTAGAGACAATGACATTTTCTACTATTTGAAGGGTCTCTTTATGTTGCGTAAATAATTTGCACTAAACACATCAGCCTATTCAACTTTTCTGGTATCATTTCAAAGTGTTCTTTTTTCCCACTGTGGAGGAAATACAACTTCAGTGGTTTTAAGTGGAGCATATGCCACTGACATAGCCGTGGCTTAACATTCTGTTTTCTGTTTTGTGTTTGTTTAGGCACCTTAACAACGAACATGCATTGGACGACAGAAGCACTGCCCAGTGTCGAGTGCAAATGCAGGTGGTGCAGCAGTTAGAAATACAGGTTTGTCAAAGCCTTCCTTAATGGACTCCTTTCTCTGACTTCTGGTCGTTAAATTGAGTACTGGGCAGATCCTGTGTCTTTTAACACAATGACTCATAGAAATACAAGGAATTTTAGATTGTTTATAGTGATAGCAATGATCGATACCTCAGGGTGGATTGTTGTAGTTTAATGTACTCACCACTTAGACTTAATATAACCTTTAGACTATATCATATACATTTGGCTATCCCAAAGGAGTCAAATCTAAGTTTCCCTACGAAAGGTTAGACCCAACCCCCCCAGTTGGGTATAATTTTATTGCAGAGACAGTTTTTACATGAGCTAATCTTGTTTTTTTCCGTGAGATTTTATATTATAGCAAAAAGCCTTTACAGTATCATGCCTGTAATTTAATACTCTAAATAAAATCTTTTCCTTTTCTACCTCTAGTGTATTTTTAATTAAAGATCTTACAAGAATCCTTAAGACTTGGAGTAATGGCACATTATTTACAATATCACAGTTGGTAATATGTGTATTGTATCAAATGCTGCTAACTTAAGTTAAAAAACATTACTGTTCATATTGAAACAGAATTTGGCCAAAAATAAATAGAACTCATAAAACTGATCATAAAACAATTATATCACCCACAATATGATTCTTGCTACATTTTTTCTAACCCTCTAAGGCTTCCTCTAGCATTTCGTCTTAAGATTATTTTTTCTCAATCAAACCAATACCTTGTTTCATTTAATTAAACATACAGTTTATTTGTGTTCATACTTTACTACGTCTTAAATTGTTTTAAATTCATCATTCACTAAGTGCATAAATGTCATTGCTTTTTTCCAGGGAGCTCCTAAAAATACTTTGACTTGTAAAATAATCAAGAACACATAAAAAGCATTGTCGCTGCTGTCGTTTAAAAAGCTTTTTTGTAAAACTGTTTACCATTTATAAAAGGTAGACTAAAACTAAGAGTTTGGCTGATGAGACAGTCTGCAGTGTGACCAATTATGCCTCTTTTTTTTTTCCTGATGTGTCTGACTGATGGAAAAGTAAGGTCCGTCACTTGTAATGAGACCCAGCGCAAGTGTGGACGCCTACTCCGTGGCAGAGTTCAGCGTTTCACACTGCCCGGTCTCTGTCACTCTATTGAATTAGATTGATGATGGCAGATTGCAGGGGCCACTAACTGGACCTCAGTGGGAAAGCATGAAGTGTGGAGACAATCCTGGCAGGCACTTCGCTTTGAGAACCCTTCACCCCTTCACAGCTGCTGGCACTAGTCCATAGCTAACAGTGTCCACAGGACTTTAAAGAGACACCATGGGCCTTCTAATTTATGGTTTCAGTAACTTGTTACTGTTGAGGCAACTGTGACCTCAATTCTCTTATTGACAAAAAGATGAAGTGTTATTTGTTTTCTCTGACCTTTTAACATAAGGAAAGCTATAAAAGTTTTTCCCCCCCTCCATAGCTAAAGTTGCATTTCGTCCCAGATAAGTTCCTACGGACACAGACTTTTATATGCAGAAATCATTACTCGGAGACAAGCTCAATGATAAGATGTATCACTGCAATAAAATAGCTGTATCAGTCATTTCTAAAATGCTTCTGATCTCACTTTTTCTTAACAGCTTTCTAAAGAACGCGAACGTCTTCAAGCAATGATGACCCACTTGCACATGCGACCCTCAGAGCCCAAGCCGTCTCCCAAACCTGTAAGTGCATATTGCTTTATAAACAGTAAATAGCTCTACCGATGTAACAGACTAAGAAAATGAACAATTTAGTGACAGTTAGAAAACAATGAGTGTGATGAAAAATATGGCAATAAAATGAAAGTAAAATGCAATCGCTTGTCAAATTGTATGTTTCTTTTAAAGTAATGCTATTTTTTTTACAAAATCTATCCAATCTACACCACGGGTGACACTAAACAAAGTACACCTATCAGTGCACAAATCACCGCCTTGAGGCTGAAGCCAGAGAGAATATCTTTCTGTGATAGGTTTACAGATATTAAAAGGAAACCCACTTTTGAGCAACCTGTAAAGCAGACAGTACAAATCACAAATAGAGAGGTATGTGGTATGCCGAAGAGGATTTGGATAAATCATCAGATACATATAAATAGATTTTTTTATCAAATGTTTTGTCAAAATGTCATAGTATTTTTAAAGCCAATCTTGTTCTCTTTCTTTGGTTGTTATCTCAGTTAAGATGTATTGCACATGTTGGTACATTTTTA